AAATGCCAAGCGCCGAGGCATATAATAACTTTGCGCGATGTTACGGGGATAGCCCGTATGTCGTAGAGAATTACACTTTCCCGTTTGAGATTGGAATCGCAGTGCATCGCCGCGAACGACGTGGCAGATGGGAACGGCGCAAACTGCATATGTATGCGCTCTTTCTCGGAGGAGATCGATAGTTCAACGTACAGACAAGCGGGATAGCTGTGCTCAGCCTCCGCGGCTCATTCACGTCGCGCTGTATGAATACGTGTATTTCTTATCTACTCGGAAACTGCATAAAAGAATACAATCGAGAACAAGAGCATATTTCTTATTAACCAAGAAATACTGGAGGGTTCTCGTCGAGGGACGTGATACTATTCTATCGCTTCATCGCGAGGAGATATTACCGCGATCCTCTCTATCCTCTCAGCACGCTTATCTAATATTTTAAGCATGCAAATATAACGGAATATGCCAACGTATCCGGATTGACGTGGATCGCAGCCAATAATAAGGATACAGTCGAAATACGATTCGGGACGTCACGTCGGAGAACGCGAGAGAATATAAGAACTTGATGGGAAAAAGAGATCCCATGGGATTCCAGTTTTTTTTCTTTCATCGTTCTCACAAAAGTGCTGCCGGTAGTGAAATCTGCGAATGGCAGTTCTCTCTTCGAGACCGCGCGTCAACCATACTCCCGCTACAGATTCGTGTTTCGTGTCTTGAGTTAGGGAAACTTACGCGCGAAACTCTTGACAACTCGGTTGTCTTAAATAACTGAAAGCCTCGAATGTAGACGCTAACATTTTAGTTGAGTACAGGGACACTTTATATATTTTATTATCATTCGCATAACATCTAAAATTTCGATAATAAAATCATAACATGTATATCCTGATATTTCTTCTCGCGTTATTCGAAGCTGAACGAAAAGTTGTAGAGACAAGAAAAAAAAACACGAACCGTAAACGAGTCACGTGCAATTTATAAACTGCATTTTGCGCACTTAACGTAATGCAAGAGACGGACGAACGCCAAGAGAGAAAGGCACTTCATTATTTACGATCAGCTGGAAAGATGAATGAGCAATATTTTCGCGCAGAGCGCATTCCGACGAAGGGAAGTCGATAAACAGAGCCAGTATAGCGAGTTGCAACGAAACTTTTTTGTCTTTCAAAAGCTGCCGGAATATCCAGCGGCACTCTCCTAGTCTGTCGCTAACGGCGGAAATGGCAAAAAAAAGGAGGTCGGAGGTACGTAAAAGGGAGGCTACGGTTGCCCCGGTGAAACGGAGATAAGTAAATAGGACACATAGCATAAAAAAAAAGAAAATCAGCGGAATGGTCTGCCTTAAACGTGACGTCTTCTCTTTCGCAACCATTTTATTCCCTCCATCGTGAGCGTTTCCTTCCTCGCACCTTTATATACTCCCGCGCACTCTTGAATACTCAAGGAGAGGGATTTTAAATAATCAGAAAAGGAGCAAGAGAGAGAAAATTGAAACGTTTTCTGAGGTTGAAGTTACTTCAGATATTATGAGTTGCCGTTGTCAATCAATGATTGCTTGGTTGATCATATCTTGCAATTTTTATTTTAATAAAAGATTATATCAAGGAAAAAGGAACAACACGATTTTATGAAACTTGAATGTACATTTGAACTTTGTAGAAATCAAGCGCTACTTCCAATTGTTGGAATGAATAAAAGTGAATTTTAATACGCCGAGAGATGGAACTGGATCGTTCAATCTCCTTTTATGGAATGCTAGTTTTGCTCGACGTTTCAACATACGCGATTTTGAGAATAATCTGATTTTGAACGAGCACTCTTAGGAAGTCAACGGCCACCACATGGATGAGATGGAAGGAAATGAAGGGCTGAACGAGGGCGCGAATTGTGGTGAAAGAGATAGAACGCTGGTAACAGTCAGCGCCACTTCCGTCTTCCGCCCCAGTAATCAAATCTCTTGACTCACTGGGCGCGAATTAAAATGGCTACGATCTATAGAGATATCGTCGCAGAGATTGCGAAGAACGAGGGCGAAAAGGGAGAAAGCGAAAAAGATCGCGTATCCCCGCGGGAGAGAATTTCTTCTTTTGCGAAAGAGATGATAGTAAAAAGGGCGGTATCTCGACGCGATACATGAGCGCATAATCAGCGCAAAGAATACGCATCGCCGCAGTGTGATCGATTAAAAATTAATGTAGCTCGCGGCTGCGAATGTACGCGTCAAATTAACGCGTTTCACACGAGATTGGACTCGCCGAGTATGTCGCTCAACACGTAAAATCGATACGCGCGTTGATAACGATCAACCTCGTAACGCACACGCGAACGAGAAATTATATACGTTCGATGCCGATGACAAATGCGATATTCCGCATCGTATCGCGGTCAGCTGGTACTACGTCGATGCGACGTTTCCTTTGTCGAAATCGGATCATAACGCAAGATACATTATACCCTTGACCGTTTTCGATATATAAAAATTAAATTTGTGAGGTTTTTCTATTACAAAGGGTCACACATCACAAACCGATTACGACACGACGATGTGTAAAATATATAATACATTCATCCGATTGATATCGTATCGTTTAATACAATAGCAAGGAATTTTCAACGTTAGATATATCTGCTATATTTGTAATTACATTATGGATTCAATCCCGGACGAGTTTTCTGTTTAGTCTGAATTTTAAAAAATCGTCTTAGATGCATCGCGTGTAAATTCGAACAAACCAACGCACGAATCAAGTCTGACGCGCATGATGTATCAGATTAATTAATCATTATGCAATATATTTAATATACGATATATAATTTTCGCAATGCGCAGCTATTAAATTAATGAGGTTGCGGCGTCCGTCTGTCAGACGAGGAGTGCACATATTGTGCACGACCACAGAGCGTAAAGTTCTGTTGCGCAAATTACAACACACAGACATACAGACACCCAGACGCGTTTATATATGCGCCGAGACACTCGACATCTCTCACGAAGTGGATTGTGGCGATGACTCGATGATTAATGAGATTAGGTATGAAATCGACATTCATCGAGGGGGCAGGGAGCATCGGCGATCGTCCCTGCTGCATTCGGCGATGCGAATCGCAAAGAGTTAGTAGCATGGGCATGTGTGTCTCTCCGTCGATTCAAATCGGAGCACGTATAACTAATACATGTGATATACCACAAATACCTATATATATATTTATTTGTCTTATGAATATTCCTTTTATGTCTGCAATACATACGTCTATATGTTATTGTACGTATATACATATATATATATATATATATATATATATATATATATATAAAATATATATATATCAAATAATATATATATGTACATAATTCACGCCGAGCTTCTGCACGCTTTTAAGATGGCTGTCTATGAAGGATATCGAGTGTCCAGTCCAGATAAATGTTGAGCCTTTGCATGTATCTTTACACGATGTATATATAATTATTTATAATGACTCGAATCGAAAATAAAGAAAATATCTCCCACGTTATTTTGCGATAAACGTCAATCGTAAGACTCGTTGTCTATACTTTCATTGATTTGTTATTCATATGTACGCATATTTTTGCTCTCAAACAATTTTAATTCACCGCAAGTTTTTCTTCCTTTCACGAAGTAATGTTGAGTATTTTAATTACGAGTCTGAAAAGTTCTGTAAAAAGTACTGAGCGATTTAATGAAGAAGATACAATGGATGCATCGACTTTTTTCAATTCCTTGAATATTTCGGAATAAAAGCTCTGCAGGAGCTACGTTTTTAAACTATCTACGTTTTTAATTAAATTCCTACATAAAGCAGAGTCATATTTATTCATTCGGCCAGCACGTGCGAATAGATGAATATGAAACGTCTGAAAAAAAAAATTTCTTCCAGATGGCCTGCTGTTCATTATCCATAAATGCTGGAAAAATTATATCGGCGATGACGAAAAATCGTAATAATTCGTAAATTTCTATATATCGTTAAAAATACAAGAAAAAATACAAATTTTTACTTCTTTCGTAAAAATCTGTAATTATTAAAGAATTTTTCGGAAATTATTAAATAATATTAATAAATAATAAATAATAAAAATGAATAATATGAATAATATATAATTTGATGTCCGCGAATTATATCTCGTAAATAGTAAACGCGAAACCGTCGAGATGAATAAAAGTGGAGTAGTAACGCTGATGGAGGATGTGTGTATAAAATACGCGCAGCTAAATCAGAATCGAGACGAGACAGTAAAATTTCATTACATCGCGTATGGCGATGCGCTCGGCCCCGATTTCGAGAGTCGTAACCACGCGTTTGTGGCCGATCATCCTGGTATTCCGTCGACTCGACCCGGAACGACGATTTCCCGTCGACGAACGATATGACGAGCCCGCAGGATAGATCGTAATCCTGGCTCGTTTATCGACAGTACTCTTTATAAGTACGCGAGTCCGCCGTTTCTCCGCGAATTTCGCGTCGTGTATCT